ATATATATAATGTTAATTTTTAAATATTTAGTCTATTTAGAACAGTTAATGTTGTATTATCTGAAAATTTAGGCACAATGTTCTATAGTGTTATATGTCAAATATTTTATTAATTAAAATAATTATATTAAACAATACAATTTTAAAATACTAAATTTGTATATAGAAATATCGGATAAACTAGAAATTGGAAAAATGTTTTCCAATTTCATAATTAAAAACCTATTTATTTTTATTGGAACCTAAATTTATTTTAATTTGGTTTCTAAAGAAACTTTTTTTTTTTCGGTTTCTAAGGAATTCAGAGAAAATTTTTTTAAAAAATTATTTCCAGCTTCTTTTATCGTTTCTAAAGAAATCGAAAAATTGTTTCACGATTTGTTTCAAACTATAAATCTTTTTTACGGTTTCTTTAAAATCCTAATATGATTTTGCTCCTTTTTAAAGGTCTATTATTAGGTCCGGACACCGGAGTAGCTCTATATCCAGAGGCCAATAACATGTCGCCACGTGTTTTATTCTTAACCGCGCGGCCCGACGACCCGACCCGGACCGGAACCCGGTATTGCTATGTTCGCGTATTTCTAGATATTGCTCGGTATTGCTGGGTATTGTTATGTATTGCTTGACAATAATAAGAAATACCGCTCTATCAAGACCAATACCTTGCAACACCGAGCAATACCTAGCAAAACTGAGGTATTGCTCGCTATTGCTAGGTATTGGTCTTTACATAATGATATTTTTCGTTATTGTCAAGGAATATCGAGCAACCTAGCAATACCCCCGTCTGCACAAATCAGCCAATACATAGCAATCCCGGGTCTAGTCCGGGTCGGATCGTCGGGCCGCGCGGTAAAAAATAAGTGCACGTGACACCATTTTATTGTCTTCCGAACGTAAAACTACGTCAGGACGCCAGACCAAATAAAAATTCCTTTTTAAAAGTGTAATTTGCCCCTTTATAAAATTCAGCTAATTACAGCTGAGCCAAAAAAAACATTAGTAATGAAATACCCAAAAAGCCAAAAATCACAATAAAATGGTAAAGAACTGTCATTATATATTGAAAAAGATAATCATTTTTCATTTTAGTGGCAGTCACTGAAAATCTGATTGGTGAGTAAACAACGGCTGATGCGCTCCACAATAAAACTTAAAAAATCAGTAATGAAATACCCAAATAGCCAAAAATCACAATAAAATGGTAAAGAACTGTCATTATATATTGAAAAAGATAATCATTTTTCATTTTAGTGGCAGTCACTGAATATCTGATTGGCGAGGAAACAACGGCTGATGCGCTCCACAATAAAACTTGCGGCTGCCAATCGTTTTCTTACGGTTCAAATAATTGCTCGGTAATACTTACCAGATAAAACGTCTAAGCACGTTCGGCAAGGGGCCCACCGGTCTCGGTTAGCGCTAACGCACATTTGGCCCCGCTCTAACGCGACGTGAATGTCGGCTATGTGGGTCCCGTGGCTCACCCATTCCAGCGTCGACAGGTCACGGCTCCGCGGAAAAGTAGATAAGTGCCTAATGCCTGCTACAGTCGTTAGATTGCAATCGGACGGCCATTATTTGGTGAATCTTTAAAGGGGCGTGGAATATCTGGTCTAGATATTTTCTTAGAAGGATGAGACTTGACAGCTTGGCATAATTCTATTAATTAAAAAAAAAAAAGCATTATAAATATGGGTTAAAAGGGCGCTACTACTAATAAAAAAAAGGAATTTTTACATACATAACATTTTAAACTATAGTATATACATATTCAACACCTAAACATTAGTATTTACATATATACCACCTAAAAACCCTTCTCCTCATCTATACTACCACTCCGTTACATCTCGTTAAAGCCACACCCCCAAAACCGTCTTCTCCGCAGTCGCCTCGCATCTTCTTCGCTCGGAATTTGCCGCTCTGCTGCTCAAGACCTGCCTTTGGTCGGAAAGGTTTGATTTTTCATTTTCTCCATCACGTTGTCGCTCGAGTTTGGCTTGTTTGGTTTTTTGTCTTCCCCATTCGATCTTGTTGTTCGATTTTTTTCCGCTCCATTTCTTCGTTAAAACGGTTGTTTTGTTTTTGTTAGCTCTGTTGATGTTCGATTTTTCATCCGCTCGGAATTTATCTTCATTGCTGTCTATACAACGAGTGTTGTCTCGTTTTGTTTTTCGTTTTCATTTTCACTTTCCGTTTTTTCTTTACATTACCATGAGTTGCTGTCTCCTTGATGCAAGTAAGTTGTTCGGTCAAATGTCAACAAGGGCAATGTGCAGCCATTATGTTTTAGAATACCTGCACCTCAAGTTGGTTTAGAAGTCTATGAGAGAACTGCTTCAAGTATTTGGTAACCATTTTGCACCAGATTTTAAGCAACTGTAAAATGAAATTCTATGTGTTGCTGAAATTTTTGAAACGAAAGTGACATAAAACGTGGCAGGATGGAGAAGGAGAGGATCGTGGGGTTCTTACTCGAGCGACGAAGATGAAAAGTGAAGAAAAAAGCTCGAACGTGAAACTGCGGTTTGTTTCAAACGTTGTCGAAGACAGAAGCCCGAATGCGATGCTGAAGTCGAGGGCGACATAACGAAAGGAAAGTTCGGGGCGGCCTGACAGGATTTTTGACGGGAGGTAACGGAGTGGCAGTATGGATGAGGAGATGGGTTTTTCGGTGGTATATTAGTAAATATTAATATTTAGATGTTGAATATGTATATACTATAGTTTAAGGTGTTATGTATGTAAAAATCCCTAAAAAAAAAGCGCAAAGCTTCAAAATATAATGTATTTAAATATGAGTATGTAAAAATAATATTAATGTTGTCAATCAAAAGATTGATTAGAGCTTGATATAAAGAATGACCAAAATTCAATTAATATATCGATATGATTATATGTAATATGAGTTCATCCTCTCAAAGGCTAAGAAATAAACCTTAGTTCTGCTTTCTCCCTCTCATCCTTGACTCCTCTCTCTCAAGAAGTGCTCGAGAAGAGCTTCTCCATTCTTACAGCACCAAGTATGATTTGCTAAGTGTTCCGACAGGTGTCATTACTTCTAACCTTAGAACTATATTTTTCTCAGCATTATCATCCTATACTTGATTAGCAAGCCCTTTGTTACGCTACTAATCAAACTAACAAACTAAGCTGAAGCTCACAATAAGTTTTATTGAGTTGATCTAAAACCCGAGCTTATGTTTAAGCCATAATTTGGTATATCGAGTCGAACTCGAATTATAATTGACTCATTTTGACTCAATTACTTTTCTATAATGACCTCATTTGATTGTGATCATTAGCAATTTTTACATTATGTTTGAAAAGAAAAAGTAATGTGGTCTAATCCATTCTAATAAACTTTAAATAAGCATTAATCAGATTAATTTAGGCTTTATTTGAGACGGTTTTTTATTACTTTTTAAAACAATTTTTTGTAAAAAATTTTTTATACTAAAAACACTGCTTTATAAACAATAAGAAAACTGTCCCAAACGAATTTTTAATCCTGTCAAATTAATAAACTCGTTTCATAAAAATTTTTCAATTACAACTATTTTTTTTTAAACTTTCAATTACAACTATTTTTTATTATTTTATTTTTCTTAACTTTCAATTACAACTAACTGACTAAGCTTAGGTTCTATTTAGGTATGCTTTTTATTATTTTTTGAAATATTATTTTAGTATAAAAATTTATTAAATTATAATTTCCGCCCGAGGTTACGCACCGCACGGTGACCGGCTACAAGCAGTATCACCGGTCACCGGCCAGCTTCTCCTCCCTATAGAAGAAGTCCATTGTCATTCTGTGAGAATTAGACAGCGAAGAAGAAGAAGCGCAGAGCCAGAAGCCCAATAATAGCATTTCAATTCCTTCGTATTTAGCATATTCGTTCTGTGTGGTGATTCTCTCTTTCTTAAGGGTGGAGATGGTAAGCTATCTATAATCCTTCTATCGCCTTTTGATGCCTTCGAGATTTATGTGGTTGGGGGCGGTGAATCCGAATCATTCATTACTCCCTTTTTGAAAAGTATTGACGAATTTCGCACTGATTTGCAACTGGATATGCAGAAAAAGGAATTCAATGAGATTCTCGATGAGGGGACGGACCATTGTCATCGGCAGCGGAAGCCGCGGCTGCAGGATAAAAGGAGGAAGATGAAGGTACGGTTGGCGAATAAGGGTCTCGGTTACGGAGAGGCGATGATGAGTGCGGAACGATGCTTCTCGTGCACAACCTTTAATATCCTCGCGCCTATTTACAAACGGCTAGACAAGGAGGTCAGGGATCTTTATTGATTGTCCGCTTTTCGTTCTTCTCCTTCCTCTTCGCATTTTAGTTGATGGTTTTGTTTTTCTTGGAAGAAAGTAGGAAATTTTCTCTCTTTGGCGTTTGTTTACTTGTAAGATTGATTTTTGTTGTGATTTCGTTATGAATAGGACCAGAGTTGTAGGGAGAGCCAGTACAGGGCGTATTGGTTGAACAGGAACCAGAGCATAATTGATCGGCTGCTGGAGGAAAGGTCCTCCATCATTTGCCTTCAGGTGGAATTTCGACACCTGATTTTCATTTGTGGTGTATTTGAGGTTGGATGATTATTTGTCGGTGTGTAATTCTGTTGTTCATTGAAAATTTACAGGAGGTCTGGTTAGGGAACGATGAACTTGTTGAAATGTACGAGAACAGGCTGGGAGATGCTGGTTACATGAGTGTCAAACTTGCCCGCACAAATAATCGTGGAGATGGTATGCTCGTGTTATTTCCTTTAGGTTATTTCAAAGTGATGATATAGGCTATGGAATTCTTCCTTGGAACAATGGAGGCTGAATTTCGTTCTCTTGACCAAAAGCATGGTACTTCAAAGTTTAAGAAGCCTTTTTGTCTGGATTATTTCTAAGAAAAGCCAAATAGGCTTTGTCAAAAGGAGGAATATGCAAGTTAGAATTTTTATGGGATTCTAATGTTGATGTTTCAGTCATCTCTGGAAGATTTTTTTTTTTATTTTTAACATTTTCTACTGGTCAAATTGATTAGTTGATGAGTTTTTAATTATATCTTGGGAGTCACTTTTGAGCAAAAGATTACACCTGATTTTGTGATTTCACTTCCTGTTTGATTCATGACAAATGAAGAATCTCAATGTCTGAAAGCTGAAAAATTTCTATTCGCAGCTTGTCTTCTTCGAAAGATTCAGAGTAATGATCAAACTATTGCAATCTATAGGATGAATAACACTGTTTGGTTTGCATATGCTTCATCTAGCTTTAATTCCTTAAACCATTGCAAGAACATTGATGATTTATTTCTTAACAGGTAGAGAGTATTCGATGTTAAGTAATTGAAGCAATAGTGATAAAATTGTGCTTTGTATTTGGACCGGTCTTTGTTGATTAGGCCATTTTATTCCTTGATCAACGTTAATTTTTTGTTGCTTAGGCCTGGCTATTTCCCGAGAAATTATTCTGTGCGTCTCTAAAAGTAGTGGATCGTTCGGATACTGTGTATGAACTGAGTATGGACTGCGTATAGATTGCGTATTTACTGCATATTTATACATATGCAGCAAATACTAAGCCAATCATTAGTTGTGAGTATTTAAGTATTTTGTGAGTATTTTCTGCATATCTATCAATACGCAGTAAATATGCAGTCCATACTCAGTTCATACACAACATCCGAATGATCCTCTACGTTAGAGTCCGTACAGAGTAATTTCTCAGCCAACTAAATCTGTGGACTTATTTGGACGCATAAATAATGTATATGCTCAAGTGTTTCTGCTCTTCCTTTTCTGCAGGTCTACTTACTGCCATACGTAGAGATTGCTTTAGAGTTCTTAACTATCGGGAGATGCTCTTCAATGACTTTGGAGATCGAGTCGCTCAGCTTTTACATGTCGAATCAGTTGTTCCTTTATGGCAAAGTAGAAATTTTAACATCCCACAAGAAATTATCATTGTGAATACCCACTTATTGTTTCCACATGATTACACGCTGTGCATAGTTCGTTTGCATCAGGTACACTTTCTTTGTCATGTTAACATATTACCTTTGATAGGCATCTTGTTATTATAAGGCATCTCCAACTGAAAAACTCAATTTTCACTCCAAAATATAGTAATATATCAAAATATAGAAACTCGTCTCTAATTGAATTTCATTTTCTAACACAAAAAATATTCCTAGTATATTCTATCTCATACTTATTTTATATATTTTTAATCATATATTTATATTAAAAAAATATATAGCGGGTGAATAGTGTGATTCCAATATTGGCGTCATACTGTTCACCTGTAAATAAATAACAGAAAGTTTGGGGTTCGGCTGAAGCGACCGAACGACGCCATACACATGGAGAAGGCCTAAAAACTTCCCTAATAGCAAACTTTGGTATTTTTGTTTTATTGATAGGTTTGCAAGATTCTTCAATTCGTGGAATCTTATCAGAAAGAACATATGCTTAACCCTCTGCCAGTCATACTCTGTGGGTCAGTTGAACTGTTGAAATTGCTATTTCTTAGATAATCAGTTTGCATCAAATATCTGAATATCTGAATGTTTTGTTGACTGCAGAGACTGGAATGGAAGTAAGCGGGGTCATGTTTACAAGTTCCTTAGGTCTCAAGGCTTTGTGTCCTCATATGATGTGGCTCATCAATATACTGATAGCGAAGCAGATGCCCATAAGGTAGAACTTCAAAAACACATTCATCTATTACATTAACATACCTGGATAATACTATCAATGTTACCTTAATTTGTATTGACTTTCTTTTTTTTGTCTTAAAGTGGGTTAGTCATCGAAATCATCGTGGGAATATCTGTGGGGTTGACTTCATCTGGCTTTTGAATCCTACTAAGCACAAGAAGCCCCTGAAGACTAGCTGGAATGAAGCAGTATTTGGGATCATGAAGGTTAATAGCTTGGCTGATAATGTTTTTGCTGCTTTTACATCTGTTGGATTGCCTGTCCTTTGCAAGTGGTCTGAGTGGTCATGAACCTCAATTGTTATGATCATATTTGTTTGTCATACAAGATTTTAATGCATACAACAACAACAACAACATCAAGCCTTTGTCCCACTACGTGGGGTCGGTTGAATCATTTTTCGCCATTGTGTCCGGTTGAAAGTCAAATTCTCATTTAAATCTAATAAAGAAAGATCATTTCTAATATTTTTTAATCAAGTCTTTTTAGGTCTATCTCTACCTTTCTTAACATAAGTCAAATCTAATACCTCAACTTTTCTAACCGGGTCATCGGAAGGCCTCCTTCTAAAGTGACCAAACCATCCAAGGCGAGACTCTCTAATCTTATATGCCACTGGAGCTACTCCAACCTTTTAACGTATATGCTCATTTCGTATCCTATCTTTAAGGGTCAAGCCACTCATCAACCTAAGCATCCTCATCTCTACAACACTTAATTTAGTATTATGCTTCTCTTTTAATGACCAACATTCGGCACCACAAGATTTTAATGCATGTTGAAGGTTTTTACAGGACTGTCTTTTATTCTCACCTATTTAATGCATGTCGAAGATTTTATTTCCTTATGTCTCTGCAGGCTTCCTAAGACAATTCTAAGGCATGTCCAAAGTATGAGCCTGCGTTTTTAATTCTCATTTCTATTAATTGATACATTCAACGAGGGTTCTAACCTTTTGTTTCTTCTTGCCTCAGTTTCTACTTCTTCGCCAAGCTTCTCTTACAGAGGATAATGCTTTTGCTTTTCTTAAAGCAGACAGTCCTGGAGACTGTATTACCTTTGCTGGTTTTTGTCAAGCACTGTGTCAGGTACAAAGCATTTTTAATTGGAGAAGGATAATTTAATTGATAGAAGGTTACGGCTAACATTTTTATCTGTAACAGTTGGGCCTTACTGGCCATCCAAATGGTCTTAGTGCTGCTGAGGTTGATGATTTGTGGATCCAAGCTGACATAGATGGAGATGGCGTTGTGAACTACGCAGAATTTGTGGTATGCTTATGATATTAGTATGAGTAATCAGCCAATAACTTAGGCTTTGTTTGGGACGGTTTTCTTCTTGATTTTTAAAGTGGCTTTATTGTTTATAGTACAAATTTTTTAATTTTTGTACTATAAAGCCGCTTTACGGAGCAGTAAGAAAGCCGTCCCAAACGAAGCCTTTTGAACTTTTGGGAATAATCCTTTTTATCAAATTTGACACTTTACAGCAACGGATATGGAATCTGGCTTGTTCAGAGAATTCCGAGCAAGCAGTCAATGAAGAGAGTGAGAGCACCAATGGCAGGGGCCATGATAGCCAGAACTTTGGATTTGATGTGAAGAATGCAGCTCTATTTCCACCAGAAATGGAGAAAGGAATGTGGCCGGAGAACTACTCCCTTTCAGATCATGCTCCTCTGACTGTGGTGTTTTCCCCTGTGAGAATGTTTTGCTCTCAATCTGTTTGCTGAGCTGAATTCTCTTTTTATTAATAGCTTACAAACCCTAGATTGGCAAGTTTGTAGAGAAAAATTTTCTGCACTGTACAAAGATGCAGGAGCAGATGTGAATAGAGTATAAACTTTAAGAGTTTTTTTTTTTTTTTTTCCTTTAACCGTTGGTGATTTGGCGGGTTGCAGGTTGAATAACATGTAAAGTAATGTACTGCCTCGCTATGAAAGATTGAAAGGCATGGTAACTCTCTTCGAAAATGGCTTTTTTTATATCTCTTTTCTATTATGGTATTACTTGTATTTGTATGAAGATGTTGAGTCGCTATTAGTAGTCATTATAGTTTTGAATTCATTGTGAATGAATATTATATTTAGATTCATTACATATGAATTTCAATGTAAATTATCACTGGGAGTCATGGTAAAAGAGTAGCGCTCTTCGTTCTCTCCGTTGTTGGAAGTACTATCAATACCGGGAGTCGAGTTGGAAGAAGACGACGCAGACGAGACGGATTGTGGTGGAGTAAATAATCGTTCTTTGTCCGAATCCGTTTCGGAGGATGCATGGCCGATAAGGGAGTCCGACAGAGAAGCCGGAGTCGTCGGAGACTCTGAGCTTAATGCGCCTGATGTCCCCTCGCCGAAAGGGATCATCATATGGGGTGAAGTGCTCACCTGTGAGCAGCACTCGTAAAGGATGGGCAATTAGACTAGCTAAGGTTTTGATTTTAAAACAATTTCATTTGTACAGAGAATAGCTGCCAGTTAGACTTTCATGCTACATGGCTAATCATACTAAATTAATCCATGAATTTTTCTTATATTTTTATTATATAGCTAACCTATATCGCCGACGAGAAAAATTATTACGTGCGGTGTTTGGATTCATCTGGAGGCCAATTCAGATGCGACATGTCACCCAATATACAGTGCATTGGATGATGTGTCGCATCCAGATTGACCTCTGGATGCGTTCGGATACCATACAAAATAATCTCTCCACCGATGATGATCTTGGTTTGTAAAAATTGGATTATTGATTTAGCCTAGGGATGATACTATTGAATTTTTGGTTTAAATTATGTCCAACTACAATATCTTTGGAATCCTCAATCAATTCATCTCTCCTATAACTATCTTTTAGCTCAATTTGAATTCCTATTTAAGTGGACAAACATATCCTCCATAATCCAATCCATTTATTACATTAGTTGAACATAATTCGCTCTTCACTCTTTGACATCTTGCCTCGATCTTTATATATAATAGAGTATCGGTACCTTACACAAATAAATTAGACCAACTATCATCAAAAGTGGAGTGATGTAGGGTTTATAGGTTCTTTATGATGAAGAAAACAATTTTATTGGTGTTTCCTTCATGTGGTGATGAAAGGGTTATTTGGGTGATGATGAAATAGGAATTTATGTTTTGGACGTATTTGGAGTTGAAACTTCTAGGCTTTCAAATGATGATTTTCTTGGAGTGGTTAATGAGCTATGGTATTTTTTAAGTCAGTTGCTTACAAAAGATAATTGTTTCTCTATATTGAGATTTTGATTATGGTATCTTAGGGTTATTGGAGAGTTGAGGCCTTAAAAGATTGTGAGGGACTTGTGAGGATATTATGGAGAGTTTTGGAGAGGTGGTATTTATTTTGGGGTTTAGGGGAGCTAGTCTCAAAACTAAGCGGAGGCGATGAAAATTCTGTTGGGAAAGGGGCAATAAAAGTAAGAAAAGATAATTAAGTACTCACCAAAGACGTAGGGGATTTTCCACTAAGTTTCTCTAATGAATAGAGAAACCATCAAGCATTTGCACATAAATTTTACACAAGTAAAAATAAATTTTATTCAATGAATCAAATAGTATAAAGCAAGATTCCATTTATAGACCTTTTTAAAGCTTAAACAACTTTGAAGTCTTAGAAGCCAATAAAAATTGGTTGATAACATATCATAATATAAATGAAAAAATGTCACACTAAAATAAAACTAAAAGCATTCAAATACATAAAATTTTGAACTGGTCATATAAAACAAATAGAGAAGTCATAAAATCAAAGCAATTTTTGAAGAATATTATATTCTTGACTACACCTACACATCAAGATGATCTAAATTAAGCTTCTTAATTATTCTCCCATGATTTTAAGAGTATGAGATGTCCATGAGCTTGCACGGAGTGCATGATGCTTAGCCAAAATTTTGACGTAAAGCCTTGGTTTGTGATATTGTCCTTAGCCTTTGTCTTGTCGCTTCATCATACACTGAGCGTGGAAATGCCAAAGATAAGGAACTAGTTCATGGAGTATCCTAAAGGTTGAGAACAATGCTTGCTATGTGAGTTACTCAATGACTAAATCACTTATGAACATCCACATCACATATCACATAAAGGATTATTTGTTGGGAATGATCTATTATTCCTTTTCAATGGTTTCCTTAAGAGTGTTGCTCAATAGTCTCCTGAATTCAGTACTACTAACTCAATCACAAAGTTATTATCCCAACCATGTATGAGCTCCATCATTGAAGAACATTCTATGAGACCTTCGAGAATTATCTCTAATTTACTTTTGTATTTATTAGCAATTTTATCAGGTTTAAAGAGCTCCCTCAACAACCCCTCCACCACCAAGAGTTTGACAATGACAATATCTTTAATCTTCAATGCTTCTTCAGTACCTTTCTTGGTGGAGAACCTAACTCCTTTTAACCTTCTTCCTCAGGCTCACTCTTTACCCTCTTTAGAGGAGACATCTCTATAAAGGCAACTTCCTCCATTGCTAGAGCAGTTGCATGCTTAACATCCTCAAAATTTTTATGGTGTTTGGCAACTACAGTGTAGTTAGACAAATGCTCAAACTTCTTCATCTTTGAAAGGAGTAAAATTTCAAAAATAGCTTTGAAGAAAATGTTTAAAGAAGAAACAATAAGAATTTCAAATGAGTCTAGTATCCTTGCACTTATAAATATTATTGTTGATATATCAAGTACATGTCAAAGGTTTAAACCTTTTTTTTTTGAATAAAATACCACCATAGATCTAGCATAAGTCACCTAAGCCAAATAAGGTTCTTCATACACATGTTCTTTTCAGGTTCACAGAAGAGCATGAGAATTAGGAAATTAATGTATACCTATATTTGTTCAGGTTAGTTGTATTAAGTAGTTATGAGAGTTTAAGTTAGGGTTAGTAAGTTGTTGATCATACACCAACTTCAAAATTTCTTAGTTAAATATCACCCAAAGCCTCAAACTAGTAATAGTTAAATATCATTAAGTCACATAGGAGATATGCCTTATTCAATCTTTGGCACCTAGGTATTGAACCCACTCGAGGCTATCACAAAGTCACCTCCTCGTCTAGGTTATGAACCCAAATAACTCAATTGCTTGTCTAAGAGTACTTGTGAATGGACTAGAGGTTCTCGTCAAGGGTACTTGACCGAAGTTCATTCATAATTGATAAATATCAACCAAACTTACCCACTACACGGCCAACTAAACTAAGCTTAGTCATTTATTTTTCTTACAATATTATTAATTAAGCAATATATCTTGTACACGTGACCTTCATCTTTATATTTAAATAAGGAGTCACTAATTGAGTATGGACATAACACAATCATTTACTTTGGTCAAAACTTTGCCTAACTAAAATCTCTCTAAGATTCTCTATTATACTCTTTAAGACTATCTCTTATCTCAGTTTGACTTCATGTTTTCTAAGTAGTTAGTTGGGTCGTTTGTAACTTAATCCATTTAAGAGAGTCTTTGAACCTTGGTTTATTCTCCCTTTTTTAATCTTTGGAGTTGATATACATATCGATAATGAGATCTTGATATCTTCCATGGATAATATTGTAACCAACAATTTTGATAATTTACAACATGAATAACATATATGAAAAATGATGTATTCATCAACATAATAATAAAGATATTTTCTTTCTTGACAAATAAGAAATAAAAGAATGAAATCTTATGAAGTATTTAAAGTTAACACTGGCTCTCTTAAAGAAATAAAAAAGGCATTAGACTTGCAACAAAGTTTAGAAATATAGACAATACCCAAAAAAAGACCAATACCAATGGAGAAAACAAAGGAGTAGAACAAATAGTATTGGACTAAAAAAAGCTCCAAGGAAATAGGATAATCAATTGATTCTCTCTTGGTGCTTGATACAATCCCTTTTATTAAACCCTAGAAGCAAAATTGTTATACGTAAAAAACTAAAAAAAGTAAGAACCGAGTTCCAATGAAAATATATACAATTTTGTTATGCTCTACAATGATTGAACTAGTTGAAATTTGCATAAAAAAAAAAAAAAATCATTATAATCGTCCTTATATAGGGTATTATGGGCTAAAATATACATTAATTTGCATAGTATGATCAAAGTTTTTATAATTCGTATTTGAGTTTGACCTCCTCTAGTATAATGTATGCTTAATTTAATTAATGAGTAAATAGAAGTTAGTCTAAAGAGGGCATAGACTGATCTATAAACCTATATGATGAGTGGTTATTAGATGTAAGGCTTGCTTGAGAAAAGAGGGGCTCCTAACAAATTTATTGAGATGGCATGCTTATATAGGAGATACTAGGAATACAAATGCCATTAATCATATATAGAAAGTTAAGTAAGTACGTTGGTCATATAACTAAGTTTTCAGGATATAATATATAAGATTTCGTTTGTTGTAATGAATAAATAGACTTTGATACTCCATAGTTAAATATGTTTATAGTGGAAAACTTGTAGGATAGGTGGCATGCTATAAAGTAATATAAAAAATGATAAAACTATCAAATTGTATCAAACAAGCTTGACCACAAAGAGAATAATATCTTGCATTGCGTGTTTGGTTGACCAATATCACCCAAGTTTAGGTTTTAATGATATTTGTTTCAATTACTGACCTTTCAGGCTTCGTTTGAGGTGATTTTCTTAGTGCTTTAATTCTTAAAGCAGTTTTTAGTACAAAATTTTTAATTTTTGTGCAAAAAAATTGTTTTAAGAAGCATGCAGTAAGAAAGCCGTCCCAAATGAAGCATCAATCTTCTTATTTCTTGTTATCTAAACTCTCTAGCTGACCATTAGGTACTGTGTGAAATCCTAATACATTTAGCTAACTTCCAACTCTTTTTTTCCTTTCAAAATATCAAAGATAATACATTTTTTCTCCTCCCCTATCATTCTCAATTGTCAAAGGATGCTTAGCTCCGTTATAATAAAAAATAATTTCATCTCATCGGTCATTTGATTGCTTGTAATTAAGCACTATTTAATCTTATATAAAATCACAACTCAAAAAATTCAAAGAAATTTATAAGGTCAACGG